GAAATATTGTCAAAGGCAAGACATGCAACTGCACTCAAAAATAATAAAAATAAAACTTGCTAATTTACGACCAACAAACTTTGTCTCATTGCCATTCACTTCATTCATTCATTCATTTGTTCACTTAAAATATTTCACCCCACCTCTCTCTACAAAAGGGCCCAGGGTGGCTTGCATCGTGGAAAGAGATATATAAAAGCAAGAAATTATTAAAATGTTGATTTTAAAAGAATTAAACGTAAGTTATATTTTAAGAATGATAACAAAAAAGATTATTAAAACGGATCAAAATTTTATACAAACACCCATCGGATCTTGGCCACAAAAAAAGAAAAAAAAGAAAAAAAAGAGGATGGACGAATGGACCGAAAAGATTAAATTATCCACACACAGCCCTGCAATTACATAATTACGAAAGAAAGAAAATTATAAAATATTTCAAACAGTCCAATAAAAGGTACCGCCAAGACAAACTACAATTTAATGATTGGAATTTCACCGATTATGGCCTTCATCATCGAATTAAAGATTTACACCTATTTACATGCCTTTTAATAGCAAAAATGGGATTCAGAGGCACAAGCTGACTCGGAGGGGCAGAAGGCCCTTAACCTCCAATAAATTTGTCGAAGCCTCTTTTGAACCCAGCCAGGCCTACCTCACAGGTCTGTTGTGACCATAACATTTATGCAGAAGAGGAGCGTCATGCATCGCACCCGGAGCTCCTCGGAGGAAAGGTGGGATATAAATAGTACAGCTAATAAGAAAAGAGACCCAGTGTGGTATAGCAGAGAGTGCTGGACTAAGACTCAGGAGATCCGGGTTCGAATCTCTGCTTGGCCGTGGGAACTCACTGTGGGCTGGAAATGATCAAAACCACGCCTTAATTATCTCACATACCCTTGCAAACTCTGCTCGGCTCACTGTCACTCAGATGCAGCTTAACGACACGTGACAATAAACAAATACTACCCATAATACGATAGGAACCAATGGGAGGGATATCGGGGGGAAAAAACACCTGAATCAGGAGACCTGAGTTCGAATTTCTCCTTGCCCACCGAAACTCATGGGGAAAATGGCACTGGTAAATCACCCCATAAAAATGCCTCATATATCTTGAAAAGATATACCACCATCACAACAACGACGAGACCCTTATTGCTGGTGTTCACACGTTTCACAAGATGGGCCCATTTCCTTGACAAGCAAACCGAGCCCCTGAAGAAGGGGGAAAGTTTATCATTCCTAGGGGATTCCTTGACTGAGGATCTCTGCCCCAAGGAGGTTACAGTATCCCTGGATGACCCAAAA